CCACCACACGGAAAATCTCCCCAGGTCACTTTCCTATTTATCCCTTATCGATTCAGTACCTAGGGTGACGCCTTGACTTCCTGGCAGGGCTCAGTTTCCGGTTGGGACCTAATTTTCCAGCTCTCTCCCCAACCTCATGGCAGCTCAGACCAACTCCTGTGGTCTCCCGCCTTCACAGATGGTCCAGTCTCCAGAATGACCCATAGTGACTGAGGGGTTCCTGGAAATGGTTCGGGCTTTTGTTTTTGTTTTTTCATTTCCTCCTCCTCTTCCTTCATTTCCTCCTCTTTCTCTTCTCCCCCCTCTCCTCCTCTTCTTCCCCTGCCTCCTCCTCTTCATCTCCTCCTTATCCTCCTTTATACCCACCCCCACTCCTCCTTTCCTTCTTTCTCTCCTTCTCTGTTCCTTCCCCCCTTCTCCTTCCCTTTGCTCTGGAGATGCTGGCAATCATTCCCAGGGCTCACACTTGCTCACACTAAGCTACATACCCTAGCCCCTTGGATGTGGGCCTTGAGTACCAAAGCCGAGACAGGCCTGGGCACACCACGATGACTGACAGCCTGGTTTAGCCCCGGGTCTCTGGCTATTTCGTTGTCTCGTTTCTAGCTCGGAAACGATCCCCCTGGCATATCCCCCCCGCCGCTTCTATTGCTCGGCCCCTGGCTTTCTGCTTGGCCACCCCTTCTGCAGCTCCTCGCAGAGTGGTTTATTTGTCCTCTCTTCGAGCTCTGTTCAAGGCCCTCTGTTCAAGGAGCCCTGCATTGCAACGGCTGCTCTCTCATCTCCTCAGCTTCTTGGGCTCCTTAGCCTAAGAACGAACAGGTTTATTTCTTACAATCACAACCTGCATCTACAGGTTCTGCGTTCTCAGGCTCTACCACACACACACACACACACACACATGCTAGGAAAAGTTATCACAATATCACTGACACACATGTAGCATGCAGCCATGGTTGTATCCATATTGAGCATCTGTGCTGTCCTTTTTAATCACCGTATAAAGACCACAGTATAACAACTACTCACATTGTGTTAGGAATTACAGTCATTTAGAAATGATTTCATGTATGGGAAAGGCTGGGGACATAGCTCCCTGGTACCAGCTTGTGTATGAGATCTTGGGTTCAATCCCCAGCACCTACAGAGATAATAAATAAGTGGGAGGGGCTAAGGATATTAAGAAGTTGGTAGAGTGCTTAGCCAGTACTCACAAAGCTCTGGGTTTGATCCCCAATGTCTCAAAAACTGAGCGTGGTAGTCCACCAGGCCAGTAATTTCAGCATCAAGAGGTGGAGATAGAAAGATCAGTAGTTCAAGATCATCCTCAGATATATAGTAAGTTCAAGGCCAGCCTGGGATACATGAGACTGTCTCAAATACAGGCAGATCAACAGAAATAAATGGGGGGCTATTTGGAATATTGTAATGAAAACAGTAGGTTATTTGCACATAGGACACCTCTACAAGGTCCATTGTGGTGTTTGTGGGTGTCCGAGAAACCAGTATGCTTGTCCAGAGTCTTGCAACCCTCCAGAGTCTGTGTCTCCTTTCCCAAAACGGAACAACCGTCTGGCCAACTAAACAGAAGTGACACTATGAACCTCAATGACTGGAACCTCAAAGGTGACTCAGGCCCACCTGGCTCACCCCCATGCTCCAGAACCCCAGGCCCTGTGAAGGGAACAAAGGATCTGCCTTCAGCCCTCACTGAGCCCCTAGTAGATGGTCCACACCATGGGAATAAATAGGTGAAAGACAGCCACAGACAACATGCAGTGGCTGGTATAGGTAAGCCCTTCTTCACCTTGATAATTCTCGGTCCAGACAATTCTGGTTCATATTCCAGAAGGGAATAGTGGCAGACTCCAGCCTGACCCATTCAAACAGGTCCAGAGTCTAACTTGCTTCTGACACGATTAAAAGGTTCCCTGGGTAGCCGGGCGGTGGTGGCACATGCCTTTAATCCCAGCACTCGGGAGGCAGAGCCAGGCGGATCTCTGTGAGTTCGAGGCCAACCTGGTCTCTAAAGCGAGTTCCAGGAAAGGCGCAAAGCTACACAGAGAAACCCTGTCTCGAAAAACCAAAAAAAAAAAAAAAAAAAAAAAAAAAAAGGTTCCCTGGGAAAAAGAGAGAGGCAGGCGCAGCTGCAGACCACGCAGCGTCTCCATCTGCTCATGGCTGCTGGGGGCTGACCATGAGGCCACAGGATCCAGGAAGAGGACACTTTTCCTATGGGAGAGACACAAGATCTCAATGTGGAACGATGTTTTCATGTCACCCTAGGTGGCACAAATGAGGTGATTCTTACATTGTTTTGTTCCTACCCATCATTGGGACACACACCACACACCACTTCATTCTGTACCATCAGTCTGGGCCATTGTTCTAAATCGTGTGTGTGTGTGTGTGTGTGTGTGTGTGAATTGTCTGGCATCATAATTGATAGCTGTGTTTGCCATTCTTTTCAATTCTGTACAACACATCTAAAATAAACAGTTTATAGAGGAAGAGCTCATTTTGACTGCTGGCATCAGAGTTTCAGTCCCTGGCCACTTGGCTGCATTGATTCTGGGCCCATGCATGACAAGGCAGAATAGCATGGGGAAAGCCAAAGCTTCTCCCCTTGTAGCAAACAAGACAGAGAGTAAGACAGGAAGGGGTCAAGGACAAGACAGACCCTTCAAAGCATGACCTCTGGGACCTACTCCCTCCAACCGGTCCCCATCTCCTAAAAGCACATTTGGTATAAACTCCTCAATGAATTAACTCATCGATGATGTCAGACCCTAATGATGCAATCACTTCCCAGTGATTGGATTTGCCACCTCAGGACCACACGAGCCTCTTGGGGGGCTACACACCTTCAACACATGAGCCTCTTGGAGGGCTACTTCACACTCAAACTATAACAGCAAACCCTGCTTTTCCGTTTTGTTTTACTTAGGTAACTGTGCATCCTAGAACAGCAGTTTCTGGGACACTGAGATGGGTAGGTACATGGGTAGGTGGTTTAGTGTAGAAGGCAGTGTTGCGAGGTAAGTCCACCAGAGATGACCACACGGACACTCGTAAAGCCAAAAAAGAAAGTCATTATTGCTGGCTGGCGGCTGCATAGGGAACTTGCCCAAATCATGCAGCCCTGAGCTTTCACAGCCCTTTGTCTTTCATGCAAAAAACCACATCCTGGTTGTCACACTTCAGTTAGCGAGAAGCAGAACTACAGAAGCCAAAAATCAAGGTCAGCACAGTCAAGGACTTTTCTGGAACTATGGACTAGGTCTTTGATGGATTAGGTCTTTGTTTCCATGGTGGCAGGCATTGGGGCCTATGTGCTGGGTTTTAAGATGGGAATGGTGCCTTTAACATGGCGTCGGTTGTGTTAAGGTCTGGGGGCCTGTTACAGTAGCACTCAAGTCTTTGTGGCTAAGCAACTTTGTTTCATTTTTCCAGTTACTCCAAAGCTCTTTTAAATTGCTTAAATGACAATTGTAACTTCTCCAGACATGTATTCTATTGTTGGGGTGTGGGGGGTGTGGGGTGGGGGCTGATGTGTGTGGAGGCCAGAGGACACCTTTCAGGAGTCAGTTTTCTCCTTCCACGTGGGTTCCAAGGACGGAACTTAGGTCATGAGGCTTGTACAGGAAATGCTTTCACCCGCTGAGATCTCACTGGTCCCAGACCTGTATTCTTTTCCTCCATGATACTGGCTATTTTCCATTGACCTACCCAGACTTACTGCTCAGCCTCGCCAGCTCTGCTCTCTTGCCTCAGGAGGCTGGCAGCTAAGGGCTGAACCACAAAGATCTTTGCCTCTACTTTCAGATAAGGTTTGCCAGGAGTGTGGAAGGGTGTCTAGAGAGAAGATTGGGTATCAGCTGCCTCCCTTCCTGCATTCCTCTGCCACCTCGAACACATCCTGTCTGCCAGCCTCTCTTCCAAGGCCACAGCAGAAGCTGGATTCCAAGACTTCCAATCCCCCTTCTCCCTTGGTCTCTTTGGCCCAAAGGATGATAAAGGTTCTCACTGCTGCCCCCTCAATAGCATCCTATCTGGAGTCTCCTAATCCTGCCCACAGCACGTGTTACTGGTTGAACCACGCCCCCTACAGATCCACTTGCTGAACTCCTGCTGTGGATATTGCTCGATATAAATAAAGCACTGATTGGCCAGTGACCAGGCAGGAAGTATAGGCGGGACAAGGAGAGAGGAGAATTGAGGAAGGAGGAAGGAAAGGGAGACCGGCTGGAGCCACTGCCAAGACAAGGAAGATGTAAAGTACCGGTAAGCCACGAGCCACGTGGCAAAGTAAAGATTAATAGAAATGGGCTGAATATAAGAGTGAGAGCTAGACAATGATAGGCCTGAGCTATGGCCAAGCAGTTTAAATAATGTAAGAGTCTGTGTGTTTGTTTTATAAGTGGGCTCTGGGACTGGTGGGACTTGGTGGTGGGAGCTGGAGAAAAATTCTCCAGCTACAAACTCCCAACTCCCAGTGTTTTAGAATGAGCCTGCGTTTGGAGACAGATGAGAGGGGTTAAGTGAGCCATTGGAATGGTCCAATAGGACCTAGAAGAAGAGGGTCACGTAAAGACAGGGAGAAGATGGCCAGTGGAGAGAGGAGACCTTGGCGTTACCTGCTGACATATCATCTCGGACTTCCAGTGTTCAGACTGTGAGCAAACACATTTCTGTTGTCAAAACCTCTCGGTCTGTGCTACAACCCCAACATTCTAAGCATCTCCTTTACCAACTACTCAAGGAGGCTTGGGGGTGTCATTTTCTTCTGGGACCCTGACTTGCCCAGTATTACCCATGAGGCCATTAGACATCCCTTCATCAAACCCAACCTATCTATTGGCACTTGTTACCATTTCTGCTATTTATTCTCTTGTCTTGAGATACAGTAGACCCACAGGACCATTTACAACAAGGTACTTAAACCAAAAGAGTTTAATGGAGGGACTAGTTAGAATCCAACTCTCATCTGTGAAGAATACCTTGTCATTTCTAGAAAAGTCCTTTTCCATCCTTAAGTCAGCTTCAACTCTGGCGCCTCTGAGGGGGATGACTGAAGCCCAGGGTGTTTCGGAAAGTGCTCCATGAGAATCGTAGCTGCTGCTTCAGGATCTGAGGGTCCCGTTGGCAGATGAAGAGGCCAGGCGAGACAAACTGGAACTTTTGGATGGGAACTCAGGGACATCTAGGGAAGAAAAAGTACCATTAGCGGGAAGGCTGTTAAAGCGTCAAAGGAGGTCATACAATTAAACTTCTTGTAGTGATATGATGCAACGTAATGCAGTCATGAGGCAGATGAGGATTTCTAAAATTTCCTACATCACTCCCATGCAGATTTCATAGATTGAACTATATAACTAGTAAATCTTCACCCTCAAAATAACTTTCACACACACACACACACACACACACACACACACACACACACACACACACGGGCGCTGACTTCATTCTTCAAGGGCCACCCACCTTGGCTTTTTGAGATAGGGTCTCTCAGTAGTCTGGGGCTCGTCAGTTAAGCTAGGCTGGCTAGCCAGTGAGCCCCAGGGATCCACCTGTCTTGACCTCCTAAGTGCTGAGATTATAAGTACACACTACCATACCTTGCTTTTTACGAGGATGCTGGGGGTCAAATTCAGGTCCTCATGCTTTTAAGACAAACACTTTATAGACTAAGCTATCTCCCCAGTCCCCACCACATTTTATTTGATCCTCAAGAAAATCATGAGATAGAAAGGGAGGGAGAGAGAGGGGTATTCACAATCTCCATTTTATCAGCCAATGAAATGGAGGAACAGGCCTGATAGCTACAGCCTACAGTCACACAGCACAGTGTCACAGCTAGCTCCAGAGACCTCTGCATCTTAGACCAGGGAACACCAGCACGGTCCCCATGCCTTTCACTCTACTCATCTGCATGCACACTTGGGGACATGGCAAATGGCCCAGGTTGACAACCCAACCCAAACTCACAGTGACAACAGATCTCTCCTTGACATCTGGTGGTGTGCAGGAAATGGAAGAGGGAGGAACAGAGAGTAAGAAGATAAGACAATCTGAGCTTGAGGCCTTAAAGAGGGAAGTGCTTTATAAAGTCAGCCTTCGAAGGCAGGCACGCGGGAGGCAGAAGCAGGTACGTTTCTGTGGATCTGAAGCCAGACTGGTCAACATAGTAAGACCCAATCTCAAAGAATAAATTAAATTTAAAACGTTTGCCCTAGAGCTAAGCACGATATAAGCATCTATAATCCTGGATGTCTGAATTTAGAGGAAGGAGGGTTGCCGAAAGGTCAAGGCCAGCCTGAGCTACACAGTCCTGGACTACCTGACTCCAAACACACAAAAGGTAAATAGTGTGCCTTTCCCTTGCCTCCAATTGCACAATGATGAAAGACGATTCCCTCGGCCGAAGCCCCGCCCCCACCCCCCAATCTTGGCAGGTCACCGTGGAATCACTAGTCCATCTTACACCCTGACAGATGTGTGCAGGCTTCCTCTGAATCTTGGAAAATCTCACTCTTGATTTTCATTGACTCAGAAGCCAGTGACTGGTGTCACTTGCTGTCCCCCTCCAGCTAACCTGCCCCTTCACTGTCCCTCAAGGACGAATCATGTAGAATGGTCCTGCTCCACATCTCTGACCTGCCTGAATTCCTTACAGCTAACTCATCCTTCAAGGTCCACCTTCTCCTAGAAGCTTGAATGTCTATTTTTTTTTTTTTTTTGAGACAAGGTCTCATATATAGCCCAGGTTGGCCACTTTGAAATCTTGATCCTCCTGCCTCTGCCTCCTGAGTGCTGGGATTATAGGCATGCATGACTACACCTGGAGATTCAGATGAATTATATATGTGCTCACACACATGTACATGTGGAGGCCAGAAGTCGACCTCAGCTATTTTCCTCAATTGCTCTCCACCCTGATTTCTGAGGCATGGTCTCTTGTTGGCCTGGAGCTTGCTGATTCAGTTAGACTAGCTGGCCAGGAAGCACCACTCACATCTGTTTACCCAGAGCTGGGGTTATGGATATGATGGATGTCTTAGTTAGGGTTCCTATTGCCACAAGCACGACAACTCTTATAAAGGAAAAAAAACATTTAATTGGGGGGATTTACAGTTTCACACGTTTAGTCCATTATCATCATGGTGTGACATGGTGGCGTGCAGGCAGACATGGTGCTGGAGAAGGAGCTGAGAGTCTTACATCTTGATTTGCAGGCAACAGGAAGTGAACTGAGACATTGGATGTGGCTTAAGCATATTTGAGACCTCAAAGCCCACCTCCACAGTGACACACTTCCTCCAACAAGGCCACACCCACCCTAACAAAGCCACACCTCCTAATAGTGTCACTATCTTTGGGGGCCACTTTCTTCCAAACCACCACACTGGGATTGCAGACACAGGCCAGCCACCACTGTCAACTTTTATGTGGCACTGGCTGGGTATCAAACTCAGGTCCCCATGCTTGCACAGAGAACATCCTACGGACTGAGCCATCTCCTCAGCCCTGTTATTGTGTCTTGGGACTAACATTTCTCTGCATAGCCCAAGCTGGCCTGGAATTTATAGCAATCCTCCTGTTTCTGCCTCTCAAATGCTGGGATTACAGGTGTGCATGAGCCTGCCTATATTTTTGTTTTGTTTTGTTTTTTCAACACAGGGTTGCTGTGTGTAGTTTTGGTGCCTGTCCTGGATCTCGCTCTGTAGACCAGGCTGGCCTTGAACTCACAGAGATCCTCCTGGCTCTGCCTCCCAAGGGCTGGGATTAAAGGCGTGCGACACTGCCGCCCAGCAAGCCTGCCTATCTTGAACGCTTTCACCTTCTGGAGTTCCTCCGTCAGTGGGATCCTAGAACATTACTGAGTCCCCTACCTTCGCCTTGACTGCTTGCTCTTGCATATCAGTATTTATATCTGTGAGTCTTGGTCTCCCTGCCTGCAAAGCTGAGGTCCTGCACTTCACTGGTTCCCAGGGGCTGTCTACAGAAGTGCAGAACATATTGGATGGAGATCCCTCCCCCGCCCCCCAGAAAAGTAGCAAGTGGCTAAGTTCAAAGGGTCAAAAGGTCAATGTTAAGAGTGGGAGCAGAGGGATGAGAGCATATAACCTTCTCTCGTCTGACATTTTCAGTATTCAGATTCCTATAGAGGCCAGTCTGCTCATGATCCGAGATCCTTAGTTCAAAGCCTACCTAGGCTACATAAAGAGTTCTAGGTCAGCCTGGGCAACTTAACTAAACCTTGTCTCAAAATGAAAAATAAAAAGAGAGTTGGGGACACAGCTCAATGGTCGAACACTTGCCTAGCACATGGGAGGCCCTGGGTCCAATCCTCAACACCACAAAGAGAAAACCAACCAACCAACGACAGAGCCACTGTTTCCAGCTGTCTGCAGATCCACCCAGGGCAAGAGAACAAACTGGAGTGTTCCTTTGTGCCCTGTCGGGAACAGTAAAGACAAAGCTCTGCCTGCTGGATGAGGACGAGGCCCGCTCTCACGATAACAAGAACGGGCTCGTCCTGTCACCTGTAACACTTGCAGTTTAATCCTATTACCGAGCCCTGCTTATCTGTCACTGAATCTGAGGAACCCTTTGCTCCTGAGCCCGGGGCAGCCACAGGGCCACAGGCCTGGGCAGGCTCTTCCCCACTCTCCTTCTTCACGGTGGCAGGTCCCGGGAGCTGCCCTGCCTTGCTTCTCTGCAGTAGCTGTCACCCCGTCCAGACTGTGGGCTTTCTCTTTCCTTCGGAGAGCAGTTCTGGGAAGCTGGTTTTCTTATGTCTATTCTCCTTCTTGTCCTGGTTCCTTCAGTTTAAGACCCGTTTTTGTTTTGTTTTTGTTTTTGTTTTGTTTTGTTTTTGTTTTTGTTGTTGTTGTTTTGGTCTGCTTTGGTTTTTGGGTGTGTGTATGTAGGTGCACAGAGGTGTGCGGGTGTGCATGCCTTTGTGTGCACACGTGTGTGCATGCAGGTGTGTGGATGCACATGTGAAAGCCAGAGGACAACCTCCAGGGTCATTTCTCAGGTGGCAGGCATCTTGGTTTTTTGAGACAAGGTCTCTCAGTGGCCTCGAACTTGCCTAGTGAGAGAGGCCGGGAAGCCCCAGAGGTCGGTTTGTCTCTACCCTCCCGGCTCTGGGATTACAAGAGTCCACCGCCTTGACCAGCTTCCCCCACAAACACACCTTACATAGGTGTTGAGGATCAGACTCAGGTCCTTGTGTCTGCAAGGCAAGCATTTACCAATGGCGCCATCTCCCCAGACCCAGTTTAAGACTTTAATATCTGCTTTTTGCTGGCGCTGTGTGTGTGTGTGTGTGTGTGTGTGTGTGTGTCTTAGAGACAGAGTCATATACACTGTAGCCCAGGCTAACATGGAACTTACTAACATAGCACAGGCTAGTATCAAACTCATAGCGATCCTCCTGCCTCAGCCTCTCAGGGGATTACAGGCATGAGCCATAAAATTTAAGAGAAAAACAGGGAAGATAAATAAAAGAATAAAAACCTTAGAGTGCTGGATCTTGGTTTGCAACATCTAACTGTGGTTGAAATAACTAGAAATGTCCCTCATCCCAACCCCAGGGCTCCCCAAGCCTTTTCCTTCCTACTGATCTTGGCTACCTCCCCGAGACCCCTGAAGTGTCTACCTTCTCAGACATAAACTTAGCAACAAGGACAATTTTAGGAAGGTGACAGAAGTCCTGATTTCACGTGGTTCATTTGACCCCGGATCACCTTAGGTCAAATCTGTTTGAACTAACCCTCCCTCCTCCTTGGAGCTTCTTCCTTAATGGGCGTCTCCAAGTGGGCCTCTGAGATTTTTTTTCCCCTTTCTTTAAAAAATAGAACTTCTTCATTGTTTGCATAGGCTACATTTCTGCATAATCTAACACTCAAAAGATGAGAAAGGGCCGGGGCGGTGGTAGCGCACGCCTTTAATCCCAGCACTCGGGAGGCAGAGGCAGGCGGATCTCTGTGAGTTCGAGGCCAGTCTGGGCTACAGAGCGAGATCCAGGAAAGGCGCAAAGCTACACAGAGAAACCCTGTCTCGAAAAACCAAAAAAACCAAAAAAACAAAAAACAAACAAAAAAAAAAAGATGAGAATGGGCTCAATGAGATCCCTCCATTCATTCCCCTCTCTTCCCTCTTACAAGGCCAACCAAGGTTATCTGTTGCTTT